TGTTCTTTATTAAGGATGTAGGAAAACCTGTAGTTTCATTGAAGGCATTTTTCATGTAATCTGTTCTATGTAAAAGCACAGTCTCAGCCAGTACTTTTTAGATCGTTTTGCTACCATGTATTTTACAATCATCAATAGGCTTTTACAAGGCACCATTAAAAAAAGACAAGTTAATATCAATGTATCTCAAAGATGACAGATCTTATAGGATCTATCCTATATATAAGGATATATCCTTTTTCATGTTTTTAAGGAGATGCATGTAACTATTAACTTTATTATTTAACAATTAGTCCATCAAGGCAGTATGTTTCTTTCAACTTGTGGAAGTCTCAACTTCAAAAAATAAGAAATTATGCAGTATTTCTGCTTGACAGAGCCCTTAGAAGAAAAGAGGAGCAATGTTTCTGGGGTCAGCATTAGAACTACAGTGTACCATTAATGTAATAGACTCCCAAATGATTCATGAAAGGAAGACCAGTAGTAAATAAAAGATTATAAGAGCCAAACATACTGAAGTGTCAGTGGAAGTAAAAGTGTAGGAAGTTTTCAAGGGACAGGCAGAATTACATTAAAATCAGAAACATGAATTATATTTTGTTTATGAAGACACCATTTTCAAGGAGGGATTTCATCATCACTGTATATTGAAGTGCATTCTTTTAGTGGGCAACAGAGGCCATGGTACATCATAACACCAGCTATGATGGGAAGGAATATGAAACGAGATCCTATTTAATAGACATTTCAGTGAGAATTTTTTAATAGAATCTTTGAAAATTACAGTAGTATTATTATCTTGATAGAAAATATTTAGCGTTTTCTTTCAATTTCTAGTTTTTAAGCAGAAATAGTCTTTTTCATAATACTTATGTATGTGCTTTACAGAAGTTGGTGCTAAAAGGCTGTATAGATCTTTTCTAACTTGGCAAACTAAGCTAAAAGAACTGTTACTGATTATGGAACATATAGTCAGCAAATGACAAAAACAAATTAGGAAGTCATAATATAATTTATAATCATGAGCAATTAAGAGTTGTGAGACAAGTTGTATCAAGAAAATGAGAAACACTTATGGGAATAATGGATTTAAATTATGACAAATTGTATGAAATCATACAATTTGGAATGTTAAATAATTCAGTCTGTTGAATTCTAAATGTGATTTCTCAACATTAACTATCACTGAATTATTTTTACTACATTAATTTTGTGATCTCTTTATTGAAAGCCATTAATTTGACATTTTAAAGTTGAAGTGATTATAACAACATGTAACAGGGCATACAATAAGGCCTATTATTACTAATATGGTGAGAAATTCAATACAGTTAACTGATAAAAGAACTTTACTCGTAGAAAAACAATCTCATGTTTCTGGGTGTCTATATGAGTGTATACTCACTCATATTAGCTATGCTGTAAGACTTCAGGTAGAAGAGAACAGTGTGACCCTAACTCCAGTTCCTCTTCACAAGCCTTGTTACAAAATGCAGTGTCACCAAACAATACAGTCCGGTGTTGTTCCTCACGCTGCCTAATAGCTAACACTGTCCATGGCAGGACAAGTAAAGGACTGGCCCTTCCAAACTTATTTGTGTGTGAACGACAGAACAGCTTCTTCATTGTGTGAAAAATATGCCTGTCTCAGTAAGATCTGTTCACTTTTTGTAATCTGTACCAAAAGTCAGTAAAATTTAAAGGAAAAAAATCAAGACATTAATTTCCCAAGAGGCAATCTCAGACTGTTCTGAATCAAAACTGCGTGTTTATGGGGGGGCAAGGAGGATGAAATTTCAGCTGAGGTAAGTTAGCCATCAGGGTAACTAGTCTTCTTGCCATTAGTGCGGAGAAGGGACATACACAGAAACTGAGGTCCCCAAACTGATCGCATGGTAGATCTTAACACCAGTCCATCCCACCCTGTCACTCTTAGGGTGTTGAATTCTTATGGCAGACTGCCCAGCCCTAGGAGGCAAGCTGGCAGTTTCTCATAAAACTTTCTGGGCCTGTTGAATGCCTTCCATCTTAGGCACACAATCCTTCCTCCTCCGTCTACTGTAGGATCTCATCAATTAGTTTAATTTACAGATTACACTAATAGGGAGAAAATTTTCCTAAAATGTTTAAATTGCTTGATTATTGCTGACCAGCAGTTGACAAAGGTGGAGGACTACAGCTTCTTTGGTAGAAGAAAGGCAGTGAATACCCACAGGGGCCAAAGTAGGTGAGTCATAGAAGAAAATACCTAACCCCTTTTTGGGGTTCTTGTTTGCTTTATTTTGTTAGGTTTTGTTTGTTTGGTAACTGTTCTTTGATTTTTAAAGGCAAAAGAGTTAGGAACTACAACCTGTGGAACACTTGCACATTTTCTCAGTAATTGGCATGGCTCCTCTTCCTGGTTGGTAGCGTGCTAATATGCTGAATCTTGGTAATTACTGAATTTATTGAGGTTGAGAGATTCAATTGCTTGCATTCTTGACAGACAATTCATCTGATCAGGAGAACAGCAAAATAACTAGAATATATTCTTGAGAAAATGCTGGGAAGAGGTGAGGGCCTTCTCTGTGTTTCTTAGAACTTTTCAAGGCCAAGCTTTTCTAGGAAGAAAACATTTAGGGAATGCCAACAAAAGCCCTCCAGAAAAAGGGCATGGGAAAAGGTGGTGGATTCTGCTGGGAGTGGGAGGCAGGAGTAGAAATTGGTTGTCAGATAACACCAGGGTAAAGGCTTTATATCTAGACTTCGTGCTACATTACTTATCCCAAATGTTTGAACTACTTTTCCTTCTGTTCAGGGCTATCTTTGTAGAATAATCATGAGCAATCTAAGTTGTTTGTTTGTTTGTTTGTTTGTTTTTTAAAAAAAGCCTGAATTGAGTATTGGAACTTCAGCATGGCTGAAATTGCACTGTGGAAGATCCACTGTTTATTTCAGTGATATAACAGTCTTTTCAATTTCTTGCCAGCTTCTTCTGTGATTTTGACTGTTTAATAATTTGTGACAGTTAAAGCTTTACTTCATGTAAATGCGCTTTGATTTCAGGCATTCTGAACAAATTTATTACATGTCTGTCTCACACTGGTAATGAAAGAAGATAGGAAGAGATACATAACCAGTAGCATTTTTGTCAGTTTTCTGCCAAGTCATGCTGTTTAGCTTCATCTGAGAAATTAAAAATAATTTTATTGAACATAGCCATATTGAGTCTAAAGAGACTTCTGTATCAGTCCTGACATTTAAATCTTGTATACAAGTAATATCTGAGTCATGAGAAGCTCACACCATTCTGTAATGAATCATTTGTTAATGAACTTCCTTGACCTTATAAAAAAAGAATTCTAACAAAGAAAATCCATAGTTGCTTTAACATTAAAGAGGTATTATTTAATATGAATAGCCCCATTCCAAACCCTGAAGTTCAATGAAATAGCTAGTATGAGTTTAAGAAGTTCATTGTAAAAGGACATTGTCTCAAGACAGGCAGTTTAGAAATTGTTATTCAGCTGTCTTTTTGTACTATTATATCCAGAAGGCTGCAACAAGAGAAAGCATGCAGCACCAGATGTGCAAATTAGGCAACAACAGAAAAATTAATGGAAGAAGCTTAAAGAGAAGAATGGGGCAGAGGACCTCACTGCTCACCCAGGCTCTTCACAGTGGTACTATGGGAGGAAGCGGATGTAGGCTGGAACAAAAGAGATCCAAGTTCAGGCTGGATATAAGAAAAAATGTTTTTTAAGAGAAACATTTTTCAACCTGGGGCCAGTCAAAAAGTGGAACAGGTTGCCCACAGAGGCTGAACAGTGTCGGTGCTTGGAGGTTTTCAAGGTATTACTGAATAAACCCCTGAGCAACCTGTTCTGATCTAATGACTGACCCTATTTTGAGGAGGAAGTTGAACTAGAGACCTCCCACAGCCCCTTGCTACCTGAATTATTCTATCATCATACGATTACAGTACTGGGTACCCAACTGCTGCTAAAAATAGAAAGCTTTCATAAAGCAACAGGAAAAATTATTGCCAGATGGTAAAAGAGGTAATAAAACCCTTACTGCAGTAGCTTTCTCCACATGTTCCCTATTGCAGTTGTAGAAGGGGGCAAGAATGTTCAAAATTAGGAACAGGAAAGATCTACAAAGTCTGCACACTAGCTCTGGAATAGGTGATGTGGCTACATTGGGAGGCTGCTGTGCTAATATAGAAAATTATGGCCAAGAAATACCAGATAAGATAAGGGTAATCTTATGCTGTGTTTTGCTTTTGTGACTGCATTTTAACAGAATTTTATTTCTATTCTTCTCTTGACAGAATTCAGTAATCATACTTTTTTTTTATATTTAAATCTTATCACAGCATGAATCTGAGTCACCTCACATATAGAGGAAACAACCTTCCCTGAAAAGGTGGACATAATTGGGGTGCACTGAAAAGAGATATTTGTACTACCTATGTTCAGGGCTCCTCTTGAGTCTTCAGGTTGCTTCCACACTGTGTTGCAGGTGTCTCTTTGCCCTGTTGACAGTGGTTTATGTAGAGGAAACCAACTTCTTTGGTACATCTGGAACTTCTTCGATGAGCAGCAGGAAAGTCAAAAAGGGCTTAAGACCTTAGAGGGGTGGGACAGAAAGGAAAGTTGTCACTTTCAGCTTGTTACACTAACATAAAACATACTTAAGATTGTCTTCCCACATTTTTTTTTTTTTTGCCTATGTGTTCAAAACAGAAATAAAATTATTAACTCTTCTGAAGTTTACAAGCCAAATGGTGATGATAGCGATGCTGGAGGGGATGGGGAAGCCACTATTAGTTTCACTTTGAATAAAGTGAAATAGGAACAAAAAAACCCAAAGTCAGTATTAAGGATATTAGTAAAGATCTATGAAGCTATGTATAAATTATAAAATAATTTCTGATTTCAGGATAAAAGTGGAGTTGAATGTACAATCACAGAAAATAACATTTTTATCTTATACAACTTTGTTTCTCTTTTAGTGGCAAAGCATTACTATAACACTGGTTGAGAAAGTGCAGATGGTTGCTGTAATCCTAGGATCTCTGTTCTTAGTAGCAAGTGTGACTTGGCTTCTATGGTCAGCCTTCAGCCCTTATGCAGTATGGCAAAGAAAGGACATCCTTTTTCAAATCTGCTATGGAATGTATGGTTTTATGGATCTAGTATGCATAGGTAAGCTCAAAATCTTTAAACAGCACAGACTGTGGTTTAAGACTGTGACTATATCTATTTTTCTAAGTGGTCACTCTAATGGATCACTGCAGTTCTTTCCAGATTTATTCTCAGCTGCTACCTTTGGCAAGTACTGCTTTTTACAGTGTTACAAATACTGCAAAGAGAAAAGAAACAACAAAGAAGCTTTACTCTCAGATTCCTCTAAGTGTCTCCCCAAGATCTTTGTGATGAGAATAGAATGTTTCAATTTCTTGAAAAAACAGCAAAGTTCAGGATGTTAAATAGACAAAAAATTACAAAGATATTATTAAAACTATTAGTAAATTTATGTGCTTTCAAGACTTCTACTGATACTACTTGGCATTAGCTTGTACTATCATGAAACACAAAAAAAGCCCTTTAGGATGTCATCAAACTACATATCCAAAATTGTTGCACAGACTTATATAGGTCACTGTGCTAGTACTAGAGAAGAACAGAGAAGACAGGCATGAGTTCTTTGTAATGATAAATAGTATATGAAACGCTCTAATAGTGCTAACTATATTAACTTTACTATTAAAAAGCCTCAGGTCGTTTAACTGAAGCTGAAATCTTATAACAGGAAACACAATTAACTACAAAGCTATTTTGACCAGTTTTGAAATTTCTGAAGATATAATGGACACAAATATTTAAATAGAAATCCCTTTAGTATTTGATAAAACAACCTTGAATTGATTGTAAGAATAACTACCATTATTTGCAAAGAAAATTTAATAATTGCAGCAAACATTAAACCACATTCTTAGAATCACAATTCCAGGAAAATTGAGAAGTCAAATGCTCTCTGACGTTTGCTTTGAGATTTCTGAGTGATAAATGCTGATGTTATCTCAACTTCATATCTGGGAATTCAGAAGGACAGTGCTTAATTCTGTTCAATAAGGGGCAAAGAAACAGAGAGATTCCTAGTATCAAGGCTTTTGTTCCAACCATAAAGCCATATCATCTTTTATTAAAACCAACCCATTCCTGTAAAGGTATTTATATTTCAGCTGGGTCAGCAGTTCTTTTTATTTAGCAATTCTTCTAAGAGAATTTCCACTCTGGAATATTTTAAAGCACAATTTTCTTCTGTGAACCCTTATGTAATCTTATCAGACAGAAAAATTAACAAAACCTAGGCCTCTAAGTCTGTGGACAAGTGATCAACTTTTAAATGAAAAAAAGGGCTCAGCTGCATGTGCTGCTACATGCTAATTCTTGAATACCACTTTTTCCAGCTTCACACTCAATATTGAGGTTTTTGCTTTTGTTTAAAAAAAAATACTAATCAAGACAAAAACGTGCTTGAGGCATTCTAAACATTTCATTTAAATGGAATTTTATTTTTTCACAAAGTTTATAATTGTAAAAAATCTACTTAATATGCATCAACTAGTTGTAATAACCAGTTATTTCAAACTGTTTTCATTTCTTTCCATATACATGACTGTTAAAACACCTAACCAAATTAGTTTCAAAATCAGTTCAGAACGTCTGTGGGCGATCCGAAGTACTCGTGTGTTTGTCCATAAAAGTGAACTATTGGAAGGCAAGCCTTCAGCAGTTACGTGCAGTTGCGTGGCTGCCCTTCCAGCCAGCCAGGCTCAAGCCACCTCTGCACTGGCAGCTGCTGCACTGACATGGACCTCACAGAGCTGTGGAGCTTCTGGCCTAACAGGCATCACACAGGAGCAGAGCACACATGCAGCTGTCTTCACCCACCAGATAAACTGATGTGCCTGTAATTACATAAATGCATATTTTATAGTCCTACCATAAATAATCCATAGAATTTTTTATGTAAAACTGACTATAGTTAAACATACTTGGATGCTGTTTTATAATTACAAAGTTCAGATATGACTTAACATCTTACTAAACTATGTCTGTAAACTCAGAAAGCTGTATAAAGGAGGTCTGGTAATTGTGGCATTCTGATGATCCAGATTCATTCAGCCCAGTTATTCTGCATATAATTTCAAGCAATTTGTACTCTATAAGCTACTAAAACCACAAGGTCTTGTAACTCTTGAAAATATTTACTAATATGTTCAACTTTAATCCATTTTTTCTTTTTCTTTAATCATAAAGTGAAGGATTTTAGGCTGACAATGTTAATTTAAAACATTCAATTAAAGTTCTCTAATAGATGGATATAATTATTACTCATGAACGATTTTAAAAAAACCCCACAACATTGTCTGTTATGTTGATGACTTCCCAAAGGCATTAACATATGATTTGGCCATTGCATATTATATATAATCTCTTACCCCATAAAGCTTGTAATGCTTACACCAGACACAGTTCTCACTTAGTACCTCCTCTCCTCTCATTTGTGTGTAGTCATCTATGGCATTCTCTTTGTTTTCAGCAGGC